GCGGGGGGGTGCGGCTGCCCCCTCTTCTGCTCGGGCTTCGCATGGGGAGCAGCGGTGGGAGCCGTGCTTGGGGCGGCCCCTGGCCCCGGGCCGTGGACTGCTGGCGTCAAAAGAGACAGGCAGGGGGGAGCGCCCAGTTGTGCAACAGCCAGGCCACCAGATGGGACGATCAGTTCCACTTCTGAGCTGTCACTCACTGACCTCCCCTGCTCCTCCTTGCACTCTCTTGGATGAAGTGTTGAGGTGCCGCTGACTCTGGGATTTGGGAGCGAGGGGCAGCAGGCAGAGGCTAACTCCTCTACCACCCCGACTGCCTTTCTGTTCCCTGAGCACACCCATCACTGCTTTGTATTTACTCATGGTCCTGTGAGCGGCTGTCCCTCACCTGTAGACCTGAGCACCCACACACCTGCCCGCCCACCAGCCATATAAAGGGCTAGCTAGTGCTGCTGTGTCTCATCCAGGGTGGTTTCTACTTACGTTGGCAATGGTGGAGACAAAGAGCATGATGACAGTGGCGATGTGAACCACAAAGATACCAGCCAATAGTACCAACATCTTGGGTCCCTTCTAGGTGGTGTCACCGATCCAAAGAGCTCTGGAGGAGAACAAGAACAGAGAGAGCAGGTGAAGGGCTGAATCAAAGAATAGCATTACTAAAAGCTTTTTTATATGCATGAAAATGGTTGATGTTAAATCCATTCTGGAAGCGTGCAGTCACAAAAAAACATCACTAGATTTGTCAAAATCTACAAGAGAGTTGCTCAAGAAGTTAAAGAAAGCCTGGAGGTAAAGGAACCAGTTTGGGAGGAGATGTAGAGCAGGGGTAATTAGCTTGGGGCCATTTTAAAAATAGCTTGAGTATACACACAGGTTGCTTAAATTGGTGTGTGGTTATGTAAAGTAAAAATTACACACCCCGGGCCTACGCTCCAGGAAGAGGAGTTTTTGCTCACAGGTTTCACAGAGGTCAGGAAAAGATTTTCTCCTCCTGTTCTCTCTTGTGGCACAGCCTCCTTCAGCTGTCCTGGGACACAGACAGGTGGTATGGAGTAGAGGACTATGTGTTCCTGGGGGCACCAGGTGTTGAGCAGGAATGGAGAGTAGACTGGGGGGTCTATCCTACTCAGCAGCTTACTCCATTATGTGAAGAGGAGACTAACCAGAACAGAAATGCTACTGAGGTGTTCTGGGGCAGAGGAAGGTGTTTAGGTTTGCAATGAAAATTGCCTGTTTCCCTTTTAAAACTTGAGACGTGTATTTATTATCTCAATAAGATCCTCTTGTAATGGAAATCCCTCTTTGGTTTGTTTTCATTTTGTTTTGTTTTGTGGGGTTTTTTTTCCTCCCCTCTGTACTTGGCAAGCTTTTATTTTTTGCAAGATCTGCTATCATTGATGAACATGTGATTGGAAAGGGAGGAGAGTGTGCTTTAGATAGCTCTCATGACACTGTTCGTCAAGGCTGCAGACTTCTTTGTGAAAATGTGAAATTCAAGGAATAAATCTGAGCTGTGACAGTGAGTGCAGACAATTTATACAAAATGAGTGAGCATATTTCCCCCTCCTTCAAGGCATTCATTGGTAATCGTGCAGTATAGCCACAGAAATCAGGGAGAAGAGTTTACTGGGTCCACTCTGGCATCAGTGAAAGACTGCTTCCTAGAAAGATTCATAGGGCTGTGTTGCTCTTTCTCTCGGTACTGAAAAGCAGTATCAAGTATGTGATTAATGTTGGCTGTCAAGTTATTTTGGTCCAGGTGACTCAGGTAAGGTTTGATGCTGTCACCATTTGTATGGGGTGTGGTAACATTGTCATGAAACAACACAATTATACTTTATGATGTCTTTCACACAAACTGTAACAAAAGGTTTGTAAAGTCCCATAAATTTGCAGGGTTTTACTCAATGATTCCACCTTCTCCACTTCTGTCTTTCCTCTCATTGTGGCCATGTGTGGGAGTGTATTCCTGTAAATTGCTGCAGCTATTCCTTGCACTGCTTTGGATAGTTTCCCAAACCACAGCAGGCAAGCAGGCTTCTCCATCAGTGGCTTGTTGTCCAGTTCAGTATTAGCTGATGACCAGGAGAAATTTATTGAGTTCAGGATCTCAAGGAACCAGCTCTGTTAGGTCACTCCTCCCACCCAAACTAAGGAGGCCAGCCCTTAGAAGGACAGATTAGGTTTGGTAGCTGGTCCTACCTCCTCAGCAAGAACTTGCTTGTCTGCTTTGGGGTGTCCTAGCAAACTACTCATGCTCTAGGGCTTGATTTGCCTGGATAGCCTGGTCACTGTGCCCTCTCTTGTCAAAGCACCTCCCCTAGTGATGAACTTTGAGAAAGTACAGCCTTCTTAGGAGTTCCTCTCTGACTGTAGTGACAACTCATAAATGAGTTCAGCATTGCCAAAATCCAGGGTCTCAATACTATATGCAGGCTACCACATGAACACACCTGACCTGAGCATTAAACCCCTTCTTTCCATTGACTGCAAAAGGAACAAGGGTTTCAAACTGCTGGATGGCAACTGATATGGATATTACCACTGTACCTTCAGCTGAGAAACTATTGCTGTTGCCATGACTGTTACATATCTGCAGCAGGTGCCTTGAATAGAGTCTCTGAGTCAAACCTTCCCATCCCTCTGAGTACTTGTCATCCCTTTTTCTGATTACCTTGGTTCTCACACAAACAGTAGTCAGTGCTTTTGCCACCATAGTGTATTGGTATGCATATATCAAATTGTGGCAAATTGGCCTGCTCTGAAATTTGCATTTACTGAACAGGGGCTAAACTTTCTCTTCCTTAAGATGGACATAATTTTCCATGGTCTCTTTAAAAACTAATTCAGCAGGCTTTTTGCCAAATATTTTTGAGAACCTTCAAAAAATCCCTGTACTTGAAAGATTAAAAACCTACTTTCATGGCACCCTAAAGGACTAGAACAGTCCTTTTAAATTCATCTTCTGTTTTCATTCAGAAATGAAAATGAGTGATAAACGTTACTTTTCAATGTAACAAAAAACCCCACACCCAGATCTTTGACCAATACGCTAAGAAAAAAACCAAATCCTTTATTCCCTTTGCTTTTCTGCTCCCTTCTTGCACTGCTTGAGAGCACTGTTAGTTCAGGTGGTTTCAGTGCATCTACTTCCTGAGAACGTCAGCACCTCTCCCTGAATATACACATTATCAAATGCAAACTCCCCCAGGGATATGTGCTCATAGCTTAGTTTTGATTCTTTGTGAGTTAAAGCACAAGCGTCCCTCTCTATTCATTCGCTTTCCCCTTCCTTCATCTCTCCCTGCCTTTTAAATAAAAAACTAGAGAACAATCCCAAAGGAACAGTGGGTGAACGAATGGCATTGAAATAGAGTCATCTCCTCTGACGGTACCGCACAGACTTTTCCTCCCATTAGACAGCGAAGCTGGCAGAGCATTGGTGACTGACAGGATACTCTTTCCATTTGTTAAGTGTGAGACATCTTTCTCCGCTACAGGGTGGGGTCACATTGCTGGAGCATTAGGACACAATTGCATGCAAATGCTTTTTCTTATATTCCCCTACCTAAACTGCAGCTGGATTTGGAGCTCCTCTGGCTCTTCTTGTGCTATGAGTCAGTCTTAGCCTTCCTAGAGCTGCCAGTTTTTTCCACTGACTCACCCCAAAGCTCCAAAACCCACAATTATTTAACCCTGCAAGTGTTTAGGACACTCTGTCAGTTTTAGGACTGCTTCTCAAGAACCAGTCAAGCAACCAGGTTGGAGAATCCTGCACTGAGCCTCCTGGCACGTTTTCCAGAGGAGAGACCCCAGCTAAGCCAAGAAAAACAGAACTGAGACACAAGAGTAGAAGAACCACTGAGGTAGGACAGGCTGGTGGGGAAGGAGTGAAGGTCATGCACCTGCTGAACAGCCTGCATGAGTCAAGAGATCTTGCACTGATGCAGTGGACTGAGTTTCCTTTTCCTGGGATGATGGATGAGGAAAAATAACAAGTCACACCAACAGTAACCATGAACAACAATCACCATGACAGCCTTCAGCACAAAAAAGCCTACAGGTAAGCATGACAGACTCTTACATGTGTAGAGACTATTTCTCTGACCATGCAGGAGTACACATACTGTGGAACAACACATAGCTCTTCTGCACCCTAGTTCAAGTTCAAGCAGGCAAGCACTATCCATTAAAACCTAAGACAAATTCTTCTCATGCAGGCAAAGTGTGGGCACCCATATCGGCCCTCTGTCTACTTAAGTGTTTTGGATCCTTCTATCTGGAGGACACTACGGAGAAGTGAGTCCTTGCCCTTGGTTTGCTGCTTAGCAAAGCATCAGGATGGAATGCAAAGTGCCACTTGGAGATATGACAAAGGTCAACAGTATAGTTCCTCAAATATAGGGAGTGGGTTACTCAAGAGGGTGAACCAGATTAGGTAGTGGTCCTCTGCTTCTGGCAGAAAGTGCACTGCAGTGAAAGGAGTAGAGGGGAAGCATACAGGATGTTTCTGCAGGAATGATCAAGTTGTTTGGGATGAAAAATCAAAGCACTTTCAACTAAATCTGAAATATTTTAGATCTGAAGTACTCCTAAGGGATGTAGCTCATCTGACTTCCATTCCCGTTCTCCTCTCTGAACTGAGGTTCCTGCCTGGGACTGCCTCTCTCAGGGTGAGTTGGTGAGGCATACTGTGAGACATGCTGGCTGAGGGGAGAACTTGGCCAATAGCCTATAGCAGCCTGTAATTTCCAGGGAGCAGACATCTAAATCACACAGTCTGTGAGCACTGTGGTGACCTCTGACTCCTCTAAAACTCAGTTTTTCAGCTGAAGTCCCTTGGGTTGGATACATTCAATTTCTCAACAAGGGAAAGACAGCACTTCAAGGAAAAATCAAATGCTTTTGGCCAGAATGTCAACAAAAAATCTCCATAGATTGAAAGCAACTGAGATGAAAGAAATTCTGCCTTTCTCAGCTGCCACCACAGAATATAAGGAATGCAGCAGTAAGTCAGACAGTGGTCTGTCTCACCCAGTATGATGTCTCTGATGGTGGTAGTAAGAGGTCCAATATTTAGAGAAAGCACATGAACCTGGCCACTGTCTGAAGTGGCAGAGGGTCATACCAGGACTACTGGTGGTTTGAATCAGGGCCAAGGCCACTTGGAAAAGAGGGGGAAAATTGGAAGGGATGAGACAGAAAATAAAAACTATTTGATATTGTTTGAAACAGTCACAAACTGCCACCTCTGTCACTGGTACATTCCTTAGTGCAAGCCAATGTACAAATAGCAGTGCTGCCATGATGCTACCAGTAAGGAAAACCTCAGGGTGGGATAAAACCTGCATAATTTGTAGATCTGCCTTTTGACTTGAGCTGAGTACCTGACTGCATCTTAGCTTTGCTACAACTGCACGCCTTATCATTGTGTGCAATATGAGCATGAGTCCTCATCATGGCCAGGGTCATTTGGCAGGATGTAAAGATGTGAAGAACTCTGTGATATTCTGGTGTCATGGTGACTTTGGACCCATCACATTGTTGCTAGAAAGCTCATGACAAGTTTAAGCAACCACATGGAAGCATCTTTTTGCT